GGGGCGCCCCCCGTGCCACACGGCTACACGCGGCATGGGCTAGATAGTTCGAACTACGTAGCCATTCCGAACTATCTGTACGCCTTTTAAAAATGGCGGCGCCACGCTTATGCTAATGAAGCCCGGGAAATTCAAATCCCGGGCTTCATTAGCAAGTGCGGTATGCCTACATTACCCCGCTAGTTCGAACTAGGAGGGTAGTGTAGACATACCCTAAGAGAGCAATGCACTTGGTGTTATGAAGGAAGACAACAGTCCTACAAAATGTACCTGAATAATTTTGCACTACTATATATGGGAAAGGGGAACTCCTCTTTGATTTGTGATGTTAATTGGTTTCTGACTGGAAACTTGATGTTAAAGTACCTTTAATATTATTTTAACATTCATAGCTACAAAACATTGTTTGCTGTTTAATCCTTTAAAAGTATGTCACAGTATTTCTGTTAGTGAATCAAAGTGTTTAACTATACACTATATCATTTTACTGGTTCTACCATTACTTCCCTTTATATTCACAAAATGTCCTCTTGTTTTATGCTGCAAGGAAAAAGAGGAGCTGATCAATTTTCACTGCACCCTTCATAAGCTAACTTTAAACTTCCTTTTCCAAGATTTCATGCATAATCCATACTAATTATGTGCATTGTTATTATCTTGGCATTTCAGTATCTCTAACTTTTATACCACCATAGAGATCACATTCTTTCTTTTTTATAAATATATATGCTTTATTAGGATGTCTGCAGTTTCTGATGGACACTTCTTTGCTAACATAAACAATATAAGAGCTAGAGCAGCAGTTTAGATAGAGGGCTGTGATTATTGCTTGACTCTTCTATTACTCACCTAAATCTCTAATTCAGGTGGTGACATATCTTGCAGAAACTATATAGTGGCTAATACATAGTTCCCAAGTAAGAAACATGCAAAATACTGTATTGACATGATAATAATCAACTCAATTTGCTTGAAATTGACATATACATACTCAAAACTTATGTTCGTGAGTCCTATGCTTTTATTTCAGCATAAATGAATAGTCAACATACACAATACAAAAAAAGAGTAACCCCACCTTGGTCTGTTCCAACATGCCAGTTGGATCCACAGTTACTACAAAACATGCTTCAACATACTGATTAGAAAAAGTTACATACCACTAAATGGAAAGTAAGTTTCATATTTTGACCAGCATGTCAATGATCTGAATTGCCATCTATTTCAAGCTGCATGCCATTCTTATGAATTGCAAGTCACATCCACTGGGAGAGGGCAGAGCTCCGTGGATTTCACTGGATCACACGCAAGTCACATCCACTGGGAGAAGAGGGCAGAGCTCCGTGGATTTCACTGGATCACAGATGATTCATACCTGCTGAGGATCTGGTCCTACTGTTTTATTGCTTACTAAGAGCTACTAGCAATAGCAGCATAACACATTGGATGAAGAAGCACATTGTTCAATGCGCTTAAACAATGACTGAATCATTTCAGAAAAGTAAAAGAAGGCAATGAGAACACCACTGGTATATTGTTGTTTTTCAATATCAGAAATGTCATTTAAAATAATTTCTGCCTTCAGTAGTAATAAGTAATAATTTCACCTGCATTTTTATGTAACAATAGGATTGGCTATTTTGCTCCCTGTAGCCTTCGTGAAAGACCCAACACACCAGATTCTTGTGGATCATCCAACACAAGCCATGGAGCCAGAGACAGTAGAAGAGAAGCACAAAATAAACATCCCTTTCATAAAGAAACTTAAAGGTGAGATCCTTGTTGGAACTTATTTGCAACCAAACAAGGATTAAATGTCAGGAGTCTATACAGAACCCACCTGGATGGTATTCACTACCCTGAATTTCACCCCTGGACAAAAGGCCAACAAAACATCTCAAAATATAACTTAAGTAGTGCATGGATCTTGGGTAGATCTTCTCCACAGGGGTGAAATACATACCAGCAGCTCTCCACAATGCAATATATTTTGAAGATCTAAAAATCCCAAAATGTTTTTATGAGTTTCAGCACAAGACAGCACTTAAAATCATTCCCGTAGATGGTGTAAATGACTGGGAAATAGAAGGGGTGGGTAATAATTTTTGCAAGGGGGCCACTTTGTGGATTTCTGAAGTGGTCGTGGGATGGCTCTGGTAGGGGCAAGACCTCAGATGGAAAGGTCAAGGCATTAGGGGGAAGGAGCAGAGCCAGAAGACTTAGAGTACTCGCACACCCACAGACCTTGATTGTCCTGGGGGCCAGAAAGTACATGAAGTAATTGTCATCCGCCCTCCTAGAGGCACCCAGCACCTAGAGAGAACTGCCAGCTGTTTTGAACAGCTGGCAGTTCCCCCTAGGTACTGCACACCCCTGGTGGTGTGACACTTCCCATGTTCCCTCCTCCCCCAAGACAATCAGGGGGTGCACTGCCCTCCCCCACCCACCAAGGAAGGAAGGAAGAGTGCAGCAGCAGCAGCAGCAGGGGGGCTGAAGTGAGGCTTTCCCCTTAGTTTGGGAGGCACCTTGCCTCCCCTCCCCAGCTGCGCCATGCCTCCCAGTCACTTAGAAGGGCCTGGAGGAATGAAATTGGATATAGTCTCTGCCCCCCCCCCCTCCACACACACACACTTCGCCCCACCACGGGTGTGCGGTTCTCTCCTGGCAGGGTGGGATGGGTAGTGGGATGGGTAGCAAGACTTCGCATGCTCTGCTGATTGGCCAGGGACAGAGGGAGCGTACAAAGTCTCCTCTTCCCTGCCAGGTGCATGCGGTTCCCTCTGGTGCCACGTGCCCCTGGCAGGGGTAGGAGACTTAGTACGCTCCCCCTTCCGCAGATCTTGATTGGCCTGAGGGCGGGGGAGTGGCAGGGCAGCTGTGGACTAGATCAATCTATTGGGCCGGCCAGATCCAGCCCGCGGAGGCCCTTTTGCTCACCCCTGACCTAGAATAACAATGAACAGATGAGCGAGGTAATATATTTTATTGAACAAACATTCATTGGTGGAAATAACAAGCTTTCCCTCTACAGAGAGCAATTATTCATACCTGGGATAGGTACTTGGAGTGTCACAGCTAAATACAAAGTGTTTTACACAAAGTGTGTTTTACACTTTGGAGTGTCACAGCTAAATACAAAGCGTTTTACCAATTTTAAATGTATGGTTTTTTAATTTTTTTGGTTGTTTATTAGTATTTGTATTATAAAAAAAGCCGTATGAGCAAGTTCACCTTTTCTTCCATACATCATTCATTATTTCAGAAGTCTTTTACTGTGTCACCTGCTATCTCTTTTCTATATTTATTATATAATCCTAATTCTGATCTCACATCAGTTTTGCACTGGTGTGACATGATTTCTGCAATACTAAGACAGACATATTTTGAAATCTTTTCTCTAATAGAATTCTTTCCGTGCCCCTTTCTCCAGATCATTTATGAATAAGTTGAAAAGGATTGGTCCCAGGACTGACCCTTGGGGGGACACCACTAGTTACCCCTCTCCAATCTGAAAATTTACCATTTATTCCTACCCTTTGTTTCCTGTCTTTTAACCAGTTCTCAATCCAAGAAAAGACCTTCCCTCTTATCCCATGGCCGTGTAATTTACACAAGAGCCTTTGGTGAGGGACCTTGTCAAAGGCTTTCTGAAAATCCAAGTATACTATATCTACTGGATTCCCCTTGTCCGCATGTTTGTTCACTTCTTCAAAGAACTCAAAGGCTATGTCTAGACTGCAAGCCTCTTTCGAAAGAGAGCGTCTAGACTGCACGTTGAACTTTCGAAAAAGCGGCTTGCTTTTTCGAAAGAAAGCATCCAGTGAGTCTGGATGCTTTCTTTTGAAGAAGCCCTATTTACATTGAAGAACGCCTTCTTTTGAAAGAGGAACTTTCGAAAGAAGGCGTTCTTCCTCGTGAAATGAGGTTTACCACCATCGAAAGAAAAGCCGCGTTCTTTCGATTTAATTTTGAAAGAACGCGGCTTGAGTCTGGACGCAGGGGAAGTTTTTTCGGAAAAAGGCTACTTTTCCCGAAAAAACCCCTGAGTCTGGACACAGCCTAACAGACTGGTAAGACAGGATTTCCCTTTATAGAAACCATGTTGACTTTTGTCCAACAAATTATGTTCTTCTACATGCTTCACAATTTTATTCTTTACTGTTGTTTTGACTAATTTGCCCGGTACTGAAGTTAGACTTACCGGTTGGTAATTGCCAGGATCGCCTCTAGAGCCCTTTTTAAATATTGGTGTCATGTTGGCTACCTTCCAGTCATTAGGTACGGAAGCCAATTTAAAGGATAGGTTACAAACCACAGATAATAGCTCAGCAATTTCCCATTTGAGTTCTTTTAAAACCCTTGGATGAATGCCAGGTGGTCCCGGAGATTTGTTAACATTAAGTTTTTCACTGATTTTATTTGGTTCTTGATTACTGCTATGCCCTGAGCAGATATTTCCGATGAGCTGTCCACAGTGATGCCAGGTTTTTTTTTTCCCCTGACAAGTTATAATTAATGTGGAAATCATCAGTGATTCAAATTTTCCATTCTGATGTACATTGCTTTGCACTTGCTATCTGTAGAGTTTACCACCTTACTGTAGATTTTACCACCTTACCGTTTGACACATTTTTCTTATGAAAATAATCAGTAATGCACTGGCACAAATGGTCATGAAAGGGTGGATGCACGGGAGTTCTTGACCGCCACAGAAATAATTATCTAATACCCTGAAGCAGGAGGTTTTGTCATGCAAGTCTAGCAGGTTTGAAAATTCTGCAGTAGAAAAGCCTTCTTCAGCAGAGGGAAAAGCCATTATCTACAGCTGCGTTTCAGACGCACCATTATCCTGCAATCTTTATAAACAACTTCCTGTTTTGTACACACTGGCAAGAAGATTCTTTTTCTGTTTCAAATGTCAGAGACATAAGTAATAACTGGATTGCTGGCCAGGAGTTCGAATTCGGCCCTGTTACTGCCATCTCATACTTATTCTGAATAAATAGGATCTTGTAAACATCCCAGGATTGAGATACCAGATATATGTTGAAATAACTCAGCATTCTATAATTAAAATAATGTACATGATGCTTCAGTGGCTTCAGTGGTAATTTATTCTCGCTCATGAGGACTCAGGAAAGTAAAACAGATTCCTTTATGTTTCTTTGGGGGTCTTCATCAGCCAGTGACAGTCGATCATTTGCAGGAGAAAAACTAACAAATTATGCTTCACTTTTTGTTGAGTATTCTTTTAATGGATTGAATAAACTACCTGGTGATTGGTTTGTAAAACAGAGAAGATATTTATCAAGCGAATGAAATAAAAGAAGGAAATGATGAGGAATTGGTGAAACAATATGGACAGTGAGAAAGGCTAGTTAGTATGTTTAGTGGGGTTCTTTAACTTATCATGCCTGGAGTTCCCACCAGCCAGTGCACTCCACTGGATGTAGGACGGAATGCACACACCACCTCCTGAAAGGATAGCAGAGCTGCTGCAGTAGCATGGGCTCCCTGGCAGCCCCACAAGAAATTAGAAGCAAATAAGTATGATTCATCAACAGTCCCGACTCCGTGCAGCCTGGGCCATGGCTGTAAAAACCTTAACCTTAACAGTATGGTTACCTGTTACATCGGAGCAAGGCTGGTCATAGTCTTTGTCAGGCCCTAGATAAAGTGTGTGTAGCAGGTGGAAGTGGAACTTGATTCTGAACCCCCAGAAGGGATGGGGCTTCAGATGGAAGAGGCAGGACGTGGAGCAGCCAGCTCTCAGTGCTTTCCATACCACGTCAAACCTCCCCCAGCCAGCCATCGGTGCTAGCTCTGCAGCAGTGCACAGGGCTCTGGTGGTGATTTAAAAGCTGCCACAGTAGCAGCAGACACAGCCTAGAGCCCTGGGCCCTTTATAATTGCTGGGCTTCGGGGAATGTGCTCTCTATACTCCCACTATTGGTGGTCCTGCATCGAAGACCCATTTTCTGAATCATAATTGAAAAGAGTGATGGGCTAGACAATCCCTGTCCTTGATTTGGAATGGATTATTTTGGTGTAAATTCTGGGTGAAAATGTAAAAAAAAAAAAAAAAAAAAGATCTTCATTTAAAGTTTTGGTTTAATTAATAGATCTCCAAGTCTTTTTTTATGGTGCCGACAAAAATGCAAATGGATTCCTGACATTCAGTGAGATAGAAAAGGTCCTGGGAGAAGATGCACCTCGGAAAGAGGAATTGGAAGAATTTGATCATGATAACAATAAGATGTACTCCTACCTTGAATTGAGAAAAGCTCTTGAGCTGACAGGTAAGGATATTTTAAAAACAAATGAGTTTTTATTTCATAACTAGACTTTTCTCCCATCCATCAAACACATCTTCCTCTTTCTGACAGATGGAATTAGGGCTTGTCTATACTTGAGAATTTGCCAAAATATTTATTCTGCAATAATTATTCTAAAATAGCTTTAGGCAAGTCCACACAAGGACACTTTTATTCTGCAATAAGTATTACAGAATACCCATTTCATAAATTTCCACTTGTAGACAAACCCTTAGAAATAGACCTGACTCATGAATCTGACTCTGGATCTGGAATCACATCTGAACATTCAGTTTGTTGAGATTCAAGGTTCCAACACAGAACTATGAGCCTGTGTCAGATGTCAGCTGTGGATATGAACTGGTTCCAAACTTGGGTCACTGTAGCTTGAATGAAATCCCAATCCCAGTCCTATGGGTTACTTGACAGCCACAGCCATTTGGGGGACTTGAGGTCGGCATCTACAATTACTACGTTCTGACTTCCAATATTCTGACCCTATTATAGAGGGGCTAAATTTTACTATAAGTAAATTTTCATAATTATGACTGAAGATGCAGGGCATGAGGTTTTGGAGAAATTTATTTCTTCATAGTGAAAATGGGGTTCCTATTTTCATTCCTTAAAATATATGCCTTTTCTTCAGCTATATACTTGTAAGAGCAAAATTTTCCTTTCTTATCTTTGTTGTGCATTTTGACTGATTTTCTCCAAATGCAATATAAATATATTCATGCAGGAGAGCAGAATACTGTAGCTAACATTCATCATGTAACCAGGAGGCAAATTTTCCTCTGAGGGCTTACCTGTATTAGAAAATTTGCACTTGATTTAAAATTTAATTAATACCAGTAAGCATTGGCAATGTAAAATGCACTTAAACTGGTTTGATTTACTCTGTTAATTTGTCAAATTAAATTTATGTGGTGTAAAAGCAGTTTAAATTAGTTTAAGATGGATGCAAGTTGGTGTAAGTTCTTCTACATCAGGAGACTGCACTGCTATAACTAAATTGATTTGGAGAGTATGTCTACACAGCAAAGTTATTTCAAAATAACTTTACCAGCTTCTACACAGCCAAACTGCTATTTCAAAATTAAATCAAAATAGCGGAGGGCTTATTTCAAAATTGGTAAACCTCATTCCACGAGGAATAGCACCAATTTCGAAATTGCGATTTTGAAATAAGAGTTGTGTAGATGCTTATTTCAAAATGGGGGCCTCCAGCCCTTCCCAGGGTGCCCTAATGGCCACTCTGGGCACAACCAAGAAAACTCCTCTCCCTCCCCCTCCCCCCCAGAGCCCTTAAAGGGGTAGACTCTGGCCAAAGTGCCTGTGCCAGCTCCAAGACTGCCAGCCCAGAGCCAGCAGTTGCTGCATCTGACCCAGTGGCCCCCAGCATGAGCCAGGCAGCCAGTGCCAGTCCTCCACTGCTCACCAGGACCAGTCTGCCAGCTCTCAGGAAAAGGTGGCCGGAAAAGGTGGGCGCCTGCCTGGTCCAGTGCGGAGATCAGGGACCTCATTCAGGTTTGGGGGGATGTCTCCAACTTCCATGATCTCCGCACTAAACGGAGGAATGCAACCAGCTACAGGCAGATGGCTGCCAGCCTGGCCACCAAAGGCCACATAAGAACCCAGGAGCAGGTTCGCATGAAAATAAAGGAGCTTTAGCAGGCATATGCCAGGGCCACAGGAGGGAGCGCCCAACCAGGGGCAGACCCAGACCTCTGCCCCTATTTTGATGCTGTTGACCGCATTCTGGGGGGCAGGATGGTCCGTGCCCCCCAAGTGGTCATTGACCCTGGGGCAGAGCTTGTTGCCTCCTGCTGCTTCCCCAGCTACCGCTTCTCCTCCCACTTCTTCTCCCCCTCCTGCTTCTTCCTTTCCACCCTCCCCACACCCCCAGGGATGCCGAGGCCCCTGCACCCATGGTGCTGGGAGACAGTTGGGCCGGCGAGACCCCCAACCCTGAGCCCTGAGCTTCTCCTCCCCCTTCCTCCCCTTGCCTCCTCCTGCTAGCTCCCTCTTCCCAGGTTTCCCCTCCACTCTCCCACCATCCCTCCTCCCCCTGCCACCTTCTTCCCCAGTCTCACCTCAGTTTCATCCTCCCCCATCCCAGTTTTGTTCAATAAAGAGGCTTTGTTGTAAAGAACACGTGTCTTTTATTATACAGCAGGAAGGGGGTTTAGGGAGGGGTAAGTGGAAGGATGTGAGGGAGGAATGAGGCACATCAGGGAAACTGTTACTACCTGCAGAATGTGCTGCTAGGCTCGCAGCAACACATCCAGGAGAAGCACCAGAGTGCCCAGGGTGGCGGGGGGGGGGGGGGATCCCTTTAAGCACAGGTCTCAGCCTCAGGCAGCAGCCACGCAAGGTAACTCCTGACCTGATGCCCTGCCTGAATCGGTTCCGGATGGCCTTAAATGCAATTCAGTGTCCTATCAGTGTGGACGCGCTATTTCGAAATAGCAAAATGCTATTTTGAAATGCATTTTGTGCCTAGGCACATTATTTCAAAATAACTATTTCAAAATAAGATATTTCAAAATAATGTTGTAGTGTAGACATACCCGGATACACTGATGCAAAAACAACCATGAAGATCAGCCTCTAGAAACTAATCCTAGCCTCCTCCCTGATTGGGCATAAGGCTCCATTCACAGCAAAACAGATTCTGTGTCCTGTCCCCTGTACTTGATGCATTTGCATCAAAGTCCACTCTGCTTCCCCAGAGAGAGGATTGTGGGTGTGGTTTAGAAGTCTTCGATTGGGATTGGAGGTAAAACCAGTATGGAAAGCAGCATGAGGACTACTGAACCACAGCACTATCCTAGTGATTGCTGAGTGATTCTGTGCTACATTTTTAACTATACTGAATGAATAAGGGGATTGAGAACAACAGGCTGTCCAGTGTCTTTGAGCAGAATACTGCACATGTAAGCAAACTGTCAAAGCCAGTGCTGGAATTAAATAGTGGGAATCAGTTCACCTGAGGTGACTATTTCTTTTTTTCCCGTGAACATAAAGTCGATTTTAGGGACTGAGATGAGGACAGAGATATGAATGTACATTTTAATGAGTTGCTAATGACAATTATAAAGTAACTATTATGGAAAGGAGGAAG